TTGGTATCGGTCATATATATAGTGTTTGGTGCATAACATGTATGAAATCGGTCGAAATATATATGTTAGCTATACCCAAACCTCAACTGATTTCAATATAATTTGGCAATTTTTTCTGGTGCCAGATTTCGTCTCTCTCGCTTTGGGTGCATCAAATATGTGAAATCGGCTGAGTATATATATGGGAGCTATAATTAAATCTCAGCTTATTTAAATATAATTTGTCGAATTTATTTTTGTACCAAATTTAGCCACTCATGCCGAATTTCATTGGAATCGGAAATACGTATCGTGTTTTGTGCATCAAATACGTGAAATCGGCGGAAAATATATATATATGGGAACTATATCCAAATCTGAACCGATTTTAATATAATTTGACTTATTTATTTTCTAATCAAAATCCCGTTACATATTCCAAACATACATATCGTGTATGGTGCATAAAATACATGAAATCGGTCGAAAATATATATGGGAGCTATATCCAAATCTGAACCGATTTCAATTTAATTTGACAAATTCATTTTGGCTTCCAATTCCGTTACTTATTTTAAATTTCATTACAATTGGAAATACATATCGTGTTTGGTCCACCAAATACATAAAATTGGCCGAAAATGTATATGGGAGCTATATCGAAATCTGAACCGATTTCAATATAATTTGGGAAATCAATTTTTTAGATAAAATCTATCACGCGTTTCAAATTTTATTGAAATTGGGGATACATAGCGTGTTTGGTGCATCAAATGCTTGAAATCGGCCGAAAATATATATGGGAGCTATATCCAAATATGAACCGATTTCAATATAATTTGACAAATTTATTTTAGGATTAAATCCCGTCACACATTCCAAATTTCATTGGAATCGAACATTCATATTGTGTTTGAGGCATCAAATGAACGAAATCGGTCGAAAATATATATGGGAGCTATATCCAAATCTGAACCGATTACAATATAAATTGGCCAACTTATTTTTGTTCCGAATTCCGTTACGTATTCCAAATTTGGAGACTGTATCTTCAACCAATCAATAGATATGTGCATATAAAATCTAAATTTTTGGTAGGTACCTTCGATTCTGCTGCTATATTTCCAGTTCCAAGTGGAAAATCAAAAATGTATACAGCCTATGTTATTTTCAGGCGATGTTGCAGTATATATGGAAATTTTCAGGAAAATCTATTCAGCGGTTTTCGAGTCCATAAATTACAAACAAACAAACATACAAACATTTTCCTCTTTTATAGATATAGATTATCTTCCAGGGGGTAAAGTAATCAGAGGGATCTCCTTGTGTGGATTTTACGACAATTCCATTGAAAACTTTGGCTGAAATCATAAAAATACCGAATATCGGGGGATACCGTTATAAGGGGGCTATACGATATCGTGGGCCCATATGGATAATTTTCTTCCAGGGGAAAAGTACTCACAGGGAACTCCATGTGTGGATTTTCAGACAATTTCGTTGATAAATGTTTCTAAAATCGTCAAATACTGAATATCGGGAGGTATCTTTATATGGGGGCTATACGATATAGTGGGCCTATATGAATAAAATACTCAAAAGGAACTACTTTTGTGGATTTTCAGACAATTCTATTAAAAAATATGGCAAATACCGAATATTTAGAGGCAGCGTTACATGGGGGCTGTAGGAAAATGTGGGCCTGCATAGGTATTTTTTGTCATCGGTTGCAGTACCCGTTAAGATCTTCAAGTTTGAAACGATTCCGGTCTATAATGTCGCTAAAATAAAATACCGAATATTGGAAGGTACCGTTATATGGACCTTCCACGTGGACCGGACCTTCATACGACATGTTTTGCCATATGATTTAAGATTTCCCAATACATCGTAACATTATTGTCAAACATAGATCGAGTTCGGAGATGGGCAATTTCGGTTCTCCTTCTGCTACCTCCCCTACAAAAGGTCGACATTTTCAAAGAAAATATTATAATGCACAGAAAGAGAAAAGATAATCCAATTTGCTCCATCTTTGCAAATCATAATATTTGCACCAGTGCTAGGTCAGGTGCGAAAATGTGCAATATCGGTCCACTCCATCAAGTACCTCCCCCACAAAGGATCACAATTTTGAATAATTGTAACTCTTATAAAATGCAATGTAAGTGTCCGATTGTCTTCAAATTACACACATCACAATATTTTTATTAACCCAAGGTTTGGTTTGAAGATGAAATATATCGGTCCACTCCTTCTGGTACCTCCCCCACAAAGGGTAAAAATGTTGAGTATTTATGAAGATCATAAAACACGCTCATAAATTAAATTAACATTCGATTCCATTCAGATTTGGTACATCTCTATATTTCTATCAACACAAGATCTGTTATAAAGATGGTAGAGATCGGACCATTCCTTCTGCTACCTTTCCTACAAAAGGACAACGTTTTGAATAACCAAAACGATAACAAAATCCGAAATAAACATCCGGATCTCTTCAAATTTCACACATCACAATATTTTGTTCTGGTGTGAAATTGGGATATATTGGTCCACTCCTTCTGGTACCTCCCACACAAAAGGTCAAAATTTTAAATATCCATGAAGCTCATAAAACGCGAAATTAATATTCAATTTCATTCAAACTCGCCACATCTCAATATTTTTATCAACGAAAGACATGTTATAAGATTTTTGTAACACCAAACGCTCAAAAAGCGAGATAAGCATCCAACTCTCTTCAAATTTCACACATGCAAATATTTTTGCTAGCACGAGATTTGTTGTGAAGACAATATATACCCGCGTACCCCTTCGATACATTAACTTACAAGGAGTCACAATTTTCAATTCTTTTATCTGTCATAGCCTACGAAACAAGTCAGCGATTCTTTACAACCTGCTGTATCTAAATATTTCTCGCAACCAGAACCCCGAGATGAATATGGAATTTATGATTTCGCATAAATGTTCGAACATCTTGAAATTTCGCCAATATCAATAATTTATCTGTTATAAATGATGTGTGAAAATGGAATACTTCGATCGACTAAATCTGGTACCTCATGCACATTTTAACATTTTCTAAAAATTATCACATATCTCATATAAAGTGCAGAAAGTAGTCTTTGTAGTCCAAACCTGACACGTCGCAATATTTATATCATATTTATTTAGGTCCGACATTATTGGCCCATTCCTTCGGAATCTACACCATAGAGAATCAAGGAAGTAGTCCATATAGTCCAAACCTGGCACGTCGCAATATTTAAATCATATTTAGTTAGGTCTGATGCGAAATGGACATTATTGACCCATTCCTTCGGAATCTACTCCATAGAGAGTTTAAAGTTTGAATAATCGTAACAGAAGTCAAAATATTTTTAAATAATAGAACATTGACTGGGGGTATTCATCTGTCGGCAAAACCGACTGATACTTTATAACTTGTTTCAAACAATAACAGTTACCTTTCCCATAGGGCCATGGACGGACCATATATTTTAGACCAGTATACAATCTCATTTTACGCGGACGTCCGTAAGTTAAATGAATGGAAACTGGCATACATCCCCTGAAGGTCGTTCCGTTTTCGAACTCCATGTTGGAAGAAACAAGTAAAAAAACATTAAGTTCGGCCGGGCCAAACTTTTAATACCCTCCACCTTAGGGTAAAAGAAACATTAGAAGAAATGCGGCAAATACCATTAAAATGCCGAATATCGGGAGGTACCGTTATATGGGGGCTACACCAAAACGTGAACCTATAATTACAATGTTTCGCCACACGAACTAAGACCCATTATGACCCACAAATACTAATTTTTAGACAAATCAGTAAAAAATATGTGGCAAAAAACCTTAAAATACCGAATATCGGGAGGTACCGTTATATGGGGGCTATATCAAATCATGGACCCATGCATGCAATGTTTCGCCACCGGAGCTGGAACCCATTGTGACCAACAAATACCAATTTTCAGACAAATCCGTGAAAAAATGTGGCAAAAATCATCAAATTTCCGAATAACGGGAGGTACCTTTATATGGGGGCTATACCACAACATGGACCTATACATGCAATGTTTTGCCACACGCTCAGGGACCCGTTATGACCTACAAATACCAATTTTCAGACAAATCCGTGAAAAATGTGGCATAAATCATCAAAATACCGAATATCGAGAGGTACCTTTATATGGGGGCTATACCACAACGTGGACCTATACATGCAATGTTTTACCACACGCTCAGGGACCCGTTATGACCTACAAATACCAATTTCCAGACAAATCCGTGAAAAAATGTGGCATAAATCATCAAAATACCGAATATCGAGAGGTACCGTTATATGGGGACTATACCAGAACGTGGACCGATATATCTCATTTTCAATACCAACCATCCTAGACACAATGCAAATTGCTCTGCTAAATTTTGGCGCTCTACGTGAAATAATGTCGGCTGTATCGTGATTTCAACAGACAGATAGACAGACAGACGGACATCGTTAAATCGACTTAGAATTTTATGCTGATTATGAATATATATACTTTATGGGGTCTAAGACGAATATTTAAGGATGTTACAAACGGAATGACAAAGTTAATATACCCTCCTTTCCAAGGTGGAGGGTATAAAAATCAGGTTATTCGGGCAGAATAGGATATCCTACATAAACGACAACTTTTACAGTATGAGAATCAGCTACTCAAAAGATTAATGTAACTGTGCAATTGCCACAATTATATATCCTCCACATGTTTTATATCACTCACAAACGCCTACTCCAAATCATTATTGTTTATAACCATAGTGGATAATATAACCCATTGTCTCTTATTGCATTGCAAAAGATATAAAACTTTCACAAATCAATAAAAAAGGCCATTACACTCAAATTGTTTATGTGTGAATTCAACAGTAAACGGTGGCTTTCTCATAAACAACAATGATAGACCTAAAACTTATTTCTTAATAAAGTTGCATTTTTTTATTGAAATTGTAATATAATGGCGTTGTTTTTATTGTGTATCTTGTTGTTGTTGATGATTTAATGAAGTAAAACATAAATACATATACAAAATATAATGGATATTGTGATGATATGACTACTACTATAAAACAGTTGTACCAAAATAAAAACGAAAACTATAACCTAAAGATGTTAGGATGATGCGAACCACCCACCCACCATGAAGCACCACCTCTCCGTCATCAAATCAGTCTTCTATGACACACATTATGTTAATGCCGCTCTTGCCAAGATTAACGCCCTCCAAACAACTCTCCTGATGCGTTCGCATATAAATCAGAAATTGGATAATAACATAGAATAGATTATTGCGGTCATAGGCACAGTTGTGTATTTGGCCATCGCTTATGAAATTGAACTTGGGCTTTAAAGGATTCGAGCAGAGTATGGCACAGCGAGCCTTATTCTGCACCAAGGCCACAGTATCTTTGGCCGAACGTTTTTCTTCGCCCGTAATAACATAGCGGCTATAAAAAGGACGGCCACCGCCTTGAGGCAAGGGCATAAGTTGAGAGTCGAGATAGACGCAAAACAAATGGAAAAGTATCTGCAAAAGAGTAAAGGCAATCAGTAGCATTAACATAAATTGAAAAGTAACAAAAAATGGCCATGGTGCAATACAAGATCATTTACATACCGCTGAATCAGTTGGCAAATGTTCATCCCACTTGAGGCCATGATATTCCGAACCCGAATTCCAACGATAGTCAGCAATACAAGAACCTCTGGCTAAATCTGCATACATTCGACGAAAACCCAAAATAAAGAGCAAGTCACAATGATACACATATTTATTTGCAAAAGTGTTCATATGCTGCCAACTCTTCACTCACCCTTAATGCGCTGCACAAGATATTCCTGATTGCTTGACATTTCCAAAAATGGCACCACCATCGGCAGGATGGGCATGTATTGTGTAACAAATTGTTGATTTTCGACTGTTTTCTTTAGCCGTTCCAAGCCAATGCTACCTATTTGCATATCATGAACGCCACGTTGTTTAAATGATGCGTCAATATGCTCCATCTCCTTCGTCAAGCGTTGCAATATGGTAAATGAAATCCACTGCACAAACAAATGTTCCAAGTTTCGGATGAAAGAATAACAAAAACAATACAGGTATTCGCATGAGAAATAATTTTATACACAGTATGACGGAAAGCCAGAAGAGAGTGACACACACACAGACACCAACAACACATACCGTTCGCATATTTCCCACATATTGAGCAAGTTTCTCCGATGAAATTCGCTTGATGACTTCAGAGTTGCTATCAATGATATTAAGGCCACCTTCCTCCTTTGATGTTTGTTTACTTTGTGTGGCAGGAGCTGAAGAGAAAATAAGAAAAACGCCAAAAAAGATGGGAATCACTATTTGTATTATCGTTGTGAATACCAAAAATACATTGGCAAAACTGTTCTGATTATATTGTCGTATTTTAATCAATACCCAACCGATATTTCCCCACAGCCCTAAAAATAAGGTAACGTAAAACTACAAAGAATGCACATTGCTATGGAATGCTTGAGAAATCTTAAATATAAAACCGCATGATACATCTGAATCGATTTGGTTCCAATATGGAAACTTTATTGTAGTCGGGTCATGATCGTATGATCTAAAATTTAACCTTATTCTACAAACAGCGTCATTTACATCAAATTTGAGGGAAATATATGGGAGTAAGATTCAATCATGAATCCATCTGGACAATGTTTGAAAATGTGTTTTTGGCTGTAGAGGGCTAAATTTCAAATCGGATGAACCACATATGAAAGCTATAGTTATATCTGAACTGATCTTCACTAATTAGACTGAATGTGGTCGGATGTGACCAAACTGATAAACCTTAAATCGAGCGATGATATATATGAGAGCTTTATCCTATTCGAACCAAATTCAACCAATTTGAATGGAGTTCATCTTAAAGCCAAAACATTTTGTTTCAAACTGTATTAAACTATTACTCCACCATAATATGGAAGGTATGTAAAATTTGTCATTCCGTTTGTAACACCTCAAAGTGTATATATTCTTGATCTGCCTAAAATGTTTAGTCCGTCTGTGGAAATCACTCTAGCTTCCGAACGAACTGAAGTAGATTGATAAAATTTTACTGAAATGTATATTTGGTCTGCAGCACTTTGGGTATTGAAAATGGAAAACTGATGTTCGTAATGGATGCTACAGCCTAAGACAGAAAATTGTCTGTGCAGGTCCACGTCTTCGTATAACCCCCATATAACGGTACCTCCCGATATTCGGTATTTTGATGATTTTAGCGACATTATTCACCGGAATTGCTTCGAATTTGGTATTTGAAGTTCGAAATGAATACTACAGCCTATGACAGAAAATTGTCTCTGCAGGTCCGCGTCTTCGTATAGCCCCCTTATAACGGTACCTCCCGATAATCGGTATTTTAATGATTTTAGCGACACTATTCACCGGATTTGTTTCAAAATTGATATTTGAAGTTCGTAATGGATACTGCAGACTAAGATAGAAAATTGTCTGTGCAGGTCCACGCCTTCGTATATCCCATATATAATGGCACCCCCAGATATTCGGCATTTTGATGATTTTAGCTACATTATTCACCTGAATTGTTTCAAATTTGGTATTTGAAGTTCGTACTACCGCCTAAGACAGAAAATGGTCTGTCTAGGTCCACGGCTTCCTATAGCCCCTATATAACGGTACCTCCAGATATTCGGTATTTTGATGATTTTAGCTCATTATCACCGATTTTTTTATGTTTCGCATTTGAATATTGCAATGGCCTGTGACAAAAGTTACCGTTGCAGGTCCATGTCGTCGTATAGACCCTAATATAACAGCTACATTCGGTATTTTTAAGATTTTAACAGAATTTTTAACGGATTTCATTGTTTTTGTGAATTGCGAACAGTCATTTTTACGCACATTGCCACGGACTCTTTCCCGCACCCCAAGTTCTGCCGACTAGCACCTTGAAGATCTTGTTCCATCTTTTCAATATATCGCAGACAGCTGTGGCTTGCGCGAACTACTTGAAAATGCTTGGAGTTTGGACTATTTTGGAGTCGGAATTAAATTTTCCTCAACCTACACATTCAACAGTGTTCTCATGTCCGCAGCCCATGTGGTGAAGAGAGTGACCGTTGACTTAGGGACGTTAGTTCGTTGTCCTCGGGTGTATGAGGAGGCAAGCTCTGCAAGACAGGTTTTCAGCCTTACATAAATGTCACCGACGCCACGATCGTGCAATCATCCGTATAAATTACGATCTCAATGCCGTCTGGAAAAAGTTTTGGAGATATCACTACCTTAGGGAAATCCCTGTTTTGTTCTTCGGGGACATCTTGTTCTGGAATTCCACGTACGTATTGATCTCCAATTTATAGAACAATATAGACCAGATTACTGGGATATGCCATGGCACGCCGCACTTTAAATACCCCCACAGTTGCATTATCGCCTTCATAGTCCATTGAAAATAATATCGTTGATTTGATAGTCTATTTTAAATGAGATAGTTAGGCCTAACACGTGTAGTGTGATTTAAAGTGTCAAATGACTTTAACGGGTCCTTCCTACTTCGTTCAATGATAGGCCCTGATCTGGTTAAGCCCCGACAAATATGTGTGGATATAACGTGCAATGCTGCTGTGGTTATATGTTGGTGATAGGTTTTCTAATGATAAGTAGAAAACCCATCAAAAGTATTTGCTACTGGCGACAAATGAAATATCGGTTTGTATGACTCAGTAACGGGGTAACCTGGACCATTTCCAACTGTTCTAAAATTACCATTAATATTCCATGCGGTCCCATAGTTTGGGTGGCGTAGCGCCTCAGTTGGCATGTGTAACATCGTCACAAATTGCTGTGGTATCTCCTAGCCATTGGTCTTATCAGCCGTTTCACATGGGTTTAAAACGAAAATAGACTGTTTAATATTCTTTTAACCACCTATTTCAGAACCCTTGACTTGGAGTATATATTAGCTGGGATCTTCTATAATTATTTCGTTCATTGAGTAGTCCTGTCTTCCAATAATATACGTATGACAGAACAGGGTACCCCGCCTCCGACTCAAAATCCACTATCTAAAATGATGCATACTTAAGAACAAATTGAGTTCTGGTGGAAAATGCTGATTTTTGTTACCGAAAGTTGGTCACAACGATATAATTTGTTTGGGGGTATAAGAACTTTAAAATTAAGACATTTTAGAATTTTCCGGCAACTGGGCCTAAACTCAATTTAAGCCCTATCTTATTCTCTCATCAATCTTAAAAAAATTATCCATTTGGCTAGAATGTATGACTTAATATCAAATCTATGCCAGACACATGTCTAGGGAAAAAGAAGCTGCGAAGTCCCTAATTTACATACAATGACATATATAAATAAAGTTATAAAATAATGACTTTGAAAATGTTGTCTTGCATTACCTGGCGAGGGCGCTAGTTGGTACAATGATGTCCTCAAAAGATTTGCAGCCGAGTTACAATAATTCCAAAAAGAATTAATGGAACCAGCATTAAATGCTGGATTTATGTCTGTGATTTCAGTTGTACTGTACTCCTTGCGAGAAACATCTCTGAAAAAGTAATAAAAAATTTTAAATTTATTAGAAATCATGCAACATATTAACCTAATGAAATAACATACTTAAGATAACGTTGTAAACTAATTTCATCGGTAATTAATTCATCGCGTTCATATTTTTGGTAGGGTGAAGAAAATGAAAGATTACTGCTGAGAGTGCTAGCATTCATAGTTGAATTGTTGTACATTGATGAATTCCATGAGGCATTGTGCATTTGCTGCTGTTGTTGTTGTTGGGGACTTAAACTCTGTCGTGGTGGCGTTGTACGGCTATAGCTCCAATTTGGTGAAGTGGGACCACGAGCTGTGAAACCAAAAGTATTACAATTATTATATTGATTGGGAAAGTCCAGTTTAAGAACAACACTCGATTGGACATAGAAGCAATAAGGTGATAAAACATAAGAAGTATATATGTTGCATATATAAATATTGGTCATTGCAATCTGTACTAAGGTTTCATGTTTAAAAAAAAAAAAAACCTTCCCATGGTTAAACTTGCCTCATACTGATTACCAAACACAAAATGTTATATCGCTGAACTTACATTCATTAAACGATGAGTGCCAGCTAAGTATTGTATTATTGGGTGCCTCAATGCGTTCCTGGTCGACTTGTTTCTTTTTGTTGGGATTGTTTGTAACAAATGAATTATCTAAAAGAGTTTTAAGTAATATAAGCCAAAAATTACACATGAATATACAAATTCTCTTACCATTATCGTCAAATTTTAGAAGATTCTTTTGTTGTTGCGTTCCTTGGACTGGTTGTGTGTGAAATACATAAAGAAAATATTTGCAAAAACATGCCAAAACACTTAGGCCCACTACTCCGGCAGCGGCATACTCAACATAATACCAATTGGATTCAGCATATGGACACTTATTTGATATGTCAAACATTAGAATGGCCAAAAGAATGACATTAATGGAGCCCCATTTCAAATAGTATTTGGCTTTTGCTGCCCGTAGCCTCAAATCCAAACCACGTTCCACTAACGAGTTCTGCTTCTGTGGCGTACTGAAATAAGTTTGCTTTTAGCGAAAATCGTTCAAGCGCAAGATGCTTATTTGACTTACCAGTAAGTTTTCATACAATTCATTGTGCTTTATTTATACGATATAAATTGAGATGCTATGCGACACCACCGGCGCCTTTTTTGCAATGTTTTGCAACAGCTGTTTTTAGGTTACTTATAGGGAACTATAATCAAAACGTTGGAATTGCCAACATTTAAAATCGTTGTGCATACCAAAGGAGTTGCCAACCTCAGAAATAACAGTTGCGGGTAATAAAAACCGTTCCACATAAATTTGTAAAGGCATGCTTCAAATATAGAAAGATATTTAAATTAAATTGACTATTCAAAAAGTAATGGTGTGGTTATATAAGCATATTAATGTTAAATTATAAGGAAAAACGACTGTCTTTATGATATGTCAGAAAATATGTCATGGAAAGACTTCAAGCTGATTATGTACCCACATCCATAACACAAATACAGAATGTTGAACAAAGCTACCTTCTAAATACAATTTATTTCTTTTGGTGTCCATATTCTGTCAAAACATATACACATTTTTTGTATGTGTGTGTATTGTTTTGAATAAAAAAATACAATAATTTAAAATTATTTAAAATTTTGGTTGCAAACTACAACTTTAGTATAAAACTGTATTGTCCTACTATTTTAGATTCATAACCCCAAAATTCAATTCTTGTTTCGCAGGTTTTCGCCAATATAAGAATTTTATTAAAAAAAAAAATGAAAATGAAAACCAACTGTTGCATATTTCAGAGTCTATTTGACACCATAAGACTCCAGCACAGAGTTGCATTTTTCTAGTTTATTTGAAGTTGAACACCTTTCTTATTGAGCCATGTCCACATCTTAAAGGGGAAAATACATAAAACGATTTTTTGACTGACTTTAGTTATAGGCTGTGTTCTCTGTAAAAGAACAAAGGGACATGGGGGAATAAGTATAACTATGGGCCGTAATTGGACTCAATCAACCTAAAACTCCTTTGTTCTCTAGCAAAGAAGCCAGCCTATGACTTAAGTCAGTCGAAAGAACGTTTTATTTATTCTCACCTTAACTCATTTTTTATGTTACCAACAAAATTCGGTAACTTTGCAACTCAAAATTTTTATATAAAAAAGAAGAAAAAATCATTGATGCTGCATTCACTTTTCGCGATTCTCTAAGTAAAATTGTTGTGCCAAAAGGGTCAAATAAAGAAATTGAATTTTTTATAAGGATGGTACAATAAGGATGTAGAACAGCATCGAAAAACTATAGAAATACAGGCCTGAGGCCATGCCCACATCTTGTAAATTTGCATGCAACAAGTTGTTTTCATTTAGTCAATATTTTTCCACAATTAAAACATACACAAAATGGGCATCAGCTGGTAGCCCTTCCTTATCTTTTTACTGTACCGTGGTTATAAGTATTTCTTTTGATTGTAATTGCAACAAACATCTTTGTCGTTGTTGACTTCTTCAGCTTTGAAATTAATACGTTGACATAATCACGTAACAATTATATAAATTTATGTATTCAATTTTGGTAGTGAAGAACGCATTAATTTTAGTACTAAAAAGTGTTGCCGCCGATGTTGCAGAGCTGTATTTTTATAATTCGCCGTTACATTTAACATCAATTTGAACATTTTAGCCCTTGTATAATAACAGAAGATTAAGTAAAGCTTCCTCCCAAATACAAGTTCTTTTGGAGCTCCTATTCTGTCAAAACTTATACACAATTTATATATATATATATATATATATATATATATATATTTATATATATATATATATATATATATATATATATATATATATATATATATATATATATATATATATATATATATATATATATAATGATTTCAACATTCATTGTCAAAACGTTAATTTATAAATCCATTATACATATATCAGAGATGGGAACCCGTTAAGTTAAATTTGACAGAAAAATTAAAGATAGGTTTTCTAATGATAAGTAGAAAACCCATCAAGAGTATTTGCTACTGGCGACAAATGGAATATGTGTTTGTATGACTCAGTAACGGGGTAACCTGGACCATTTCCAAATGTTTTAAAATTACCATTAATATTTTTTATTTTTTATTTATTTTCAATAAGTACAGAAACCTAGCCAACAGGGCCATGGACGGTTCAAAAAACTTCTATACATGACTACTCTAAAATTATTATAATATCCTTAATCCTAAAAGAATTACTTAAAATTAAACACTAAAACAAATTAACAAAAAATGAATAAAATTAACAATTGATTGATGGTTCCAAGAACTCCTATACATGACTACTCAAAACTATTCATAACATCCTTAATCTTAAAAATAACATTAAAAAAATAACAAAAAAAAAAAAAAATTAGCAGAAATCACAATTCATTGAAGATTTAGATAAATCAACTATGCAAGGAAAAAAACAAATTAACACAAGAAAACTATATATTTTAAACAATATTGAAATGAGCATATAATTTACGCCTATAACATTTTAGGGAAGAATTGAATGTCTTAAGATTAGGTGGCAGATTGTTGAAAATGCGAGCAATTCTTACATAGAAGGATTTTTCCAACAGAGGAGTCAAGCGTGGTATAACAATTTGCAGGTTCCTTACAGATCTCGAAAACTTAAAAAGGTCCAAAAGAGTAGAAGATGTCCTCAATTTAAAATGTTTGTAGAAGAACAACATTGACCTTAAATTCACAAAACACTCAAACGAACAACCAAGAAACTCTTTCACAGAAGGAGATATATGATCACGACGTTTGACACAAAAAACATATCGCATTACTCTATGAAACAATAGTTTTAACTTACGAAAAACAAAACCGTAGCTACCCCCATGCGGTCCCATAGTTTGGGTGGCGTAGCGCCTCAGTTGACATGTGTAACATCGTCACAAATTGCTGTGGTATCTCCTAGCCATTGGTCTTATCAGCCGTTTCACATGGGTTTAAAACGAAAATAGACTGTTTAATATTCTTTTAACCACCTATTTCAGAACCCTTGACTTGGAGTATATATTAGCTGGGATCTTCTATAATTATTTCGTTCATTGAGTAGTCCTGTCTTCCAATAATATACGTATGACAGAACAGGGTACCCCGCCTCCGACTACTATCTACAATGATGTATACTTAAGAACAAATTGAGTTCTGGTGGAAAATGCTGAAATTTTTACGGAAAGTTGGTTTTGTTATTCTAATCACAACGATATAATTTTTTAGGGGGTATAAGAACTTTAAAGATAAGACATTTTAGAATTTTCCCTCAACTGGGCTTAAACTCAATTTAAGCCCTATCTTATTCTCTCATTTAATCTTAAAAAAATTATCCATTTGGCTAGAATGTATGACTTAATTTCAAATCTATATCTATATATATATATATATATATATATATATATATATAATGATTTCAACATTCATTGTCAAAACGTTAATTTATAAATCCATTATACATATATCAGAGATGGGAACCCGTTAAGTTAAATTTGACAGAAAAATTAAAGATCTTATATTGGGTGTAACCAGACACAGGAAAAAATTTTCAGGAATTGTCTGGCAACTTTTTTTCTGAGAGAGTAAGGTAGTCTTTTTTATTTATTTTGCAAGAGAATTACAAATTTCAAAATAGACAATTTTTTGCCCTAGCAGCTATGTCGATGCGACTACCTGTAATCTTCTACCATGGTAGGGCAGAATGATTAAATTTGAAAAACACAACCCTGAAGATAGAGTCTGGAATCAAAAATGCAACAAGTTGTTTTTTATTTTACATTGTTCTCACAATATATTAATTTAAAAGAAAATCTCGAAAACTGAATGGAACGACGAGAATTGTTCACAATATGGTGTTCCTACTACGATTACAATTATTTTTCATCCCAAACACTAAAGGTAAGGTCACATTGAGCAAATATTTGACCCAAACATGTTTTATCATATTTTCCCAAAAAAATGTTGTTTTCATACAGAGTTGATTTTGTGTTCACATTGCTCACATTTATTTGACAAATTTTGTTTGTTCAAACACCCATCAAATAATGGCAAATAAAGCAATGACAAAACAGGTTTGACGGTCACATTTGAAAAATATATTTGAATAAAAAGCAGTTTGATCAAACTGTCAAAAAACAAAAAATTGTTTGGTCGAAATATTTAAAAGAAGTTATGCAGCAGGAAGAGGAGCTTTTTATTTTATGTTGTAGTGCAGCATCATATATTGCCGTCAAAGAGGACGAATCCATGAAAAATAGAAAGAAAAGACCATGGGTTCGAGAATGGTTGCGTCAAAGAAAAGAGGAAGGATGTTGCGTAAAATTGCTGACTCAACTGCGGGCTGAAACACCATCGCTCTATAAAAGTTTCTAGAGGATGAACGCGGCAGATTTTGACAATTTGGTTCCTTCACTAGAGCAATGAGTTTAAAAATATCTTCCTCTGCCCACTCCTTTGCAACCTTTGGCTTTCCCCTAGATTTCTTCTGCGGCACTTCATATTCGATTTCCCTTTTATTTATTAGTTTTTTTGGAATTACTTCTCACTTCAACTTTCTATTATTCCTTTTTGTCTTTTTGTAGGTAAACGTTTATCTGCACAGCTGTTTTACATGTCAATGTTGTCAATGTCGTATATGAAATAAAAACGCTTTTAACTTTTCAGTTGTAAATCGAGTAATTTTGGTTTTAATTGGTAACATTTCATTTGTAGTTCGAGAAATACATTTGTAATACAAATTATTGCGTTTATAATTTGAATATGTCTAGTTGAATTAAATTTCAATCCAGTTGTAAATTGAGAATTCTATTTTTAATTCGAATAATTCCATTTGCAGTTCGAATAAAACTAAATAGAATTGCAATTGGAATTCTCAATTTAAAAAAGTAAATTATTTTAATTATAAACATATTTCTCAAATTACATATAAAATGTTACGAATTAAAACTAAAATAATTCCTTTACAACTGAAAAGGAACAAAAAGATATTTGTATGTTGTTGTTATCTGCAATGCATTTGCGGTATTAATATAATAATATAATGTGTAAATATCAAATTGCTTGAGAAAAGTGATTTTTAAATATAAAAAGCAGACAACAGTGATGCAACAGCTGTTATTTCTCACTGTTTTCTCATACAAAACCATTGTAAGGTCAAATAAATGTTTACTCTAAATAGAGGAAAATATTTGATTACATGTGTTCACATTGTGGCCACATTGATCAAAATTTTCTTTGCAGACAAATAACTTTGTTTTCTCGAAATCAGCTGTTTTTGTGTTTGCCCTACAAAAATATTTTGTGGTCAGATTGTGGCAAAGAAATATTTGAACTTTTCGTCAAATATTTGCTCAATGTGACCTTACCTTAAGGGTGAGAATACATAAGCTTAATTCATCGGCTTTTTCATAGAGGAACAAAGGAGTTTAGGTTGACTTAGTTCGATTTTGGCCCTACACCTCATTGTTCTTTTCCGAAGAAGCCAGCCGATGACTTAAGGTAAGGTCACATTGGGCAAATATTTTACGAAAAATGTGAAATATTTCTTTGTCACAATCTGACCACCAAATATTATTTGACGGTAAATACAAAAACAGCTGATTTTGGGAAAACAAAATTATTTGCTGGAAAACAAAAATTTGACCAATGTGTCCATAATGTGAACATATATGATCAATTATTTTCCTATTTTTTGGTCAAACATTTATTCGACGGTGCAAATGTTTTGTAAGGTCAAACAAGGGAAAATATCAGTTTAAAACATTGGGCAGCATTTTGCTTTAAGAACAGGAGCATTTGTAGCATGATGTTTAATGAATAGAAAAACAAACGAATACAATAAGTGGCTTTGTTTATTTGATATTTTTGAATTAACTGAATTTGATTGTTTAGTAAAAAATGTTTATATTTGGTCTGTTCCAGAACTGGGAGAATGTAAGTGTTTTTACTACGATAACCGATTTTCCCTCTATTATATCGAAGAAAATTGCGAAACTAGTAGATTCTTGCAGGTTCTGGAACAGGATATAGGTAGATGCATCAACGCTTGAAACAATTATATGTCAAAAATTTTGAAATGTTTTGACAAAAATAAGTAGATTTTTCTATGTTTTCCTATACGGCGAAAAATCGGAGGTTGCGAAGATATATATTTTTCAACAATTTTTACAAATTTCAATAATATTTCATTCATTATTTTCAATTCTTTGTTTTATTTTCAAAAATTGTTTTGACAGTTCATTGTCCCAGCAGCTATGTTGATGTGACTACCTGTATTCTTCTACCATGGTACAAACAAAAATGCAAAAAAATTGTTATGACAAGGAATTTATTTCACAACAGTTGGTCTTTTGCTTCCCTTCTCCAAATAAATTATACCCGAAACTACATTTTCTTCATGTCTCTCTTTCAATCTCTCTGTCTATTTCTCTCGGCCAAATAAACTTATGTTTCCTCACAGTTTGATCAAACAATTTAATGGGAAAATATATTTTACGAATGTGAACATGTGTCAAACATGTTTTCCCATAGCACTGTTTGACGCTGTTTGGTGACTGCTTGAACAAACAAAATCTGTCAAATATTTGACTGTAATGTGAACATCGAATCAACTCTGTATGAATTTCACATTTGTTCAGTCAAATATGGGAAAACAAATTTCGATCAAATATTTGTCCAGTGTGACCGTACCTTTAAACCAGTCAAAAAAGCGTTTTATGTATTCTCAATTTTAGAGTATAGTCTTTCCAAAAGCTGTAAATATGAATTTAAATTTCAACAGAATTTGAAAATTTTCAAAATTATTTTGTTTATTTTTCAAAAACATTTTCATTCATTCAAAAACGGTACACATGTTGCCACACCTTGTCGCCATTGTATCATGAATCAATTATCACGGAAAGGGCTCCAATGCAGTAAAAACAAAAACATATTTCTACAGAGAAAATAATAACGATAACTCTTAACCCGCAGAGTTCAAATAAAACCATCAATTTGCATGAAATTTATGAGCAAAAAAATCTGCAATATAATTTATTTGTAATAATCATCACGTACACATACATTATTATTTGTGTTGATGCTGTTTGTTCAAGTGGATGTGTAAACGAAATGCAATCATTCAAATACAATATTTAAGGACAAAGCATAATGTTACTTATGATGGGAATATTTATACAAGCTGTCTATTTTGAATGTTGTGTTTCTATAACAACGGAATGTGAGACAATTAATTATTATCATTTATTATTTCTTAACAACGAATAGTACAGACATGTATGACATCTATTATTACATACATATATTTTATGTGTGTGTGTATGTATATGATAAATATACATTTATATTCATATAATAGTGGGTGTTTTTTTATCATTGCCATGTAATATTTTACAATGTATGTGTATAAATAGTAACTGTGTGTAAATCATAAAAAACGTTCTCATCAGAAGTTTCCCCTATAATACATAAAATTACTTTAAAAAATTAGATTATTTAAAAAAAAAATTATGAGTCGGTGCTAAAATTATACTGTGCTTGGTTATATTTATATTGTATATTTAATACAAATACCTATACGACTTGTAACATAAAAAGTGCAGACACAGAATCGGCAAATGTGACACTGACGCCACATTATTTGTTACCATAAATAGTGTCAATCATGCCATGCTACTTAACTGTTTCCATCTCAAGGGCAGCCGTTTTTATTATTTTGAGTAAATTTGAATGTAATCTGATAGTCCAAGGAAAGCTTCAAGGTTTGCATAACGCATTTAAGGTTTGACTAAACTTCCGAATAAAATTTGGTGATATTTCGAATGTACATGCTATGGATTTTCACCTATATCTTCTGATATCAAATTTAGGTGCGAATACATAAAAGGATTTTTCTCTGTCATAAGTCATTAGTTCGCTTTTACGTAAAAGAATAAAAGATTTTATGGGCTGAAATTGAACCAAGTCAACATAACTCCGTTGTTCTTTTACGAAAAGCCGACCGGAAAATCCTCCTATATATTCTCACATTTAAGGCAGAAACAGATCAAAGCTTGAATCGCAGCGCAAGCAAACTCTGTTGCTATTTTTGGCTGCACAAAATGTAATGTGGCAACAGTGATGTATTTTAACACTGGCACATAAATAATGATTATTTGACGTGTACGCTATGGAATTGACATTTGAGTCCACTCGGTGATTTCGTAAATGTAAACCTACCGATATAACGATGTTTAAATTCAGTGTATTTCAGATTTGGCGTACACTGGATTTCATATATTTAAATAAGTTTTAAGATAGGTTAAAGTATTAAAGTACGTTTATACGTACTAAATCGAGTTGATTTCAATTATCAATTCCATTGCTATACATCAACTAAAATCGACCCTTAAAACCAGTTGATTTTATTGGCTTATACGCAATTACAATTGAAATTCACTGGGAATTGACAGTTAACACCAACGGATTTTTTTTGTGTACGGCTTTTAATCGTTATGCTTTAAAACAATTTACGGATCATTTGAAACGCAAAAAAATGTTAAGCATTTATGCAAAGCCCGGTTAACTGGGATCAATACAGAGAACTCTGTTTACACATCAGAGTTATATTTATCTACCATCCAACGTTTTATTACAATATATTTCATTTTTGAAGCATTACATGTCAAATAAAAAGAAATGCTTCATTAAGTTCTTACTTCAGATTTTCTTTCATACATTTTTGCTGAAATCCGTTCCAGAACTCTAAAATTTTGGCCGAATAAACCATTTTAGCACTTTGAAGGAGCTGAGATTTGTACTTGTTTTTCGTTCCAATACTTTCTGGGTAAAGTTTTTCACGTACAGATTTCGCTCTTTTGCTAGTTTTAATAATTATAGTTAGGTTACATTTACATTGAAGCCCTTTATCCGTATAAGTGAACAAAATCACAATAAATATGATGTATGTTTTCTATAGACAAATTGGTGAACGTGGTTAAATGTACGTATTGTCGTATAAGAAAACATATAAAAATCTAAAATTTTTGACATATCAGTGTTTCCAAGCGTTGATGCATCTACCCGTATTCTCTTACCACGGTTAAAAATTAAATGAATTAGGAGAATTAAAATATGACGACTTATATAAGTTTTGTCATTGTCGCTTTGAAATAGGGATACGTAAGTCGACTTTGAATTAACATTTTATTCGATTTTTGGTGATAGGTTAAACAAAAGTCGGCTTACGTGTCCCTATTATAAAGCGGCAATGACAGTATCGACATTATTTAACAAAAATTCAATTGTATATCTCAATAATTTGCATTGTAAATCCATTTCAAATAAGTATATCCATCCCTGCATTTTCCGTAATTTATGTTGTAGAATTTCGCTGCATATAAATTAGGTATCCATCTCTGGTTTGTGTATATGCAATTGTAAATATAAATCTTGACAATGAAATGTTGCCAATTGAAAATTTTTTAAAAATAAGTGGTAAACATATGACATATGACTTTACTTTCTTAATTCTACAAAGATATTTTTTTTTGAAATATCAAAAATCTTTAGTATTTTTAAATTCTATACAGTAAGGTGAACAATCGGACCAATATAAATGTCGGTAGAAAAATGCAACTCTGATTCTAGGCAATTTGTCTTGTGTAAACGGTTGGTTAGAATAGACTATGATCATGAACTGTCAAACCAATTTGATAATTGAAAATGTTGAATGAAAAATTATTTAAATTTGTAAAAATTGTTGAAAAGCACGAATTATAATTACCTCCGAATGACGTCATATAATAAAACATATAAAAATCTACTTATATTTGAAAAAATATTTAATTTTTTTTGACATATCAATGCTCCCAAGCGTTTATGCATCTATCTGTATTCTTCTGCCATGACTATGATCTTTTTTTATAATTTGATAGTTTATATCATTTGTGAAATTTTTGAAAGTGCTTATTTGGCTGGCTTTAGTCATCGGCTGGCTTCTTCGTAGAGGAACAAAGGAGTTTGAGGTTGACTTAATTCGATTTTGACCCTAGTCTCCTTGGTTAATTTTCGAAGAAGCCAGCCAAAGAAGCACTTTCAGTATTTCCACCTTATCGTTAATTCCAGTTTGCCCGTAAAAGGTGAACAATGATGCAAAATTTCGTTTTTTGGAAATGCAATACCACAACGACCAATTCGAAACGTTGATTCTGTTCTACCCATTAAGGGTAAACAATGATAAAATTTCTTCCTATTTCAAAGATAATATGGAGCAACTATATCACGATTCCAAAGAAATCCACAGGTTACATAGAAATGAAGCCAATTGCAGAGTGTGTTTTAGCCTTAAAAACTTTTTTACGTATGCCAGAGAATCTCGACTATGAAGCTTCCATTATGTTTCTGTCCTAAAAAGGTCACGTTGAGCAGATTGATTTTCATACGTATTTTATTGAGTGTGTAGCACTGTGTATTTTTTCTTGTTAAAAAATAAAATTTAGTTTTTTAATTTTTTAAGGCTTTCATGCAGTTTTTTTCTTTGTAATTTCAAAAACAATATTTTTTCTTTTTTTAAATATTTTTATATATGTATATATTATATATTTGTTGTTATGTGTTTGTTTTTTTTTAATTATATTACATTACTACATATATACTCGTACTTATTTCTTAACTTATTTAAAATACATATGTATGCCAATTGAAATAATACACTGCTCGTTTAGTTAGTTATTTAGTTTGTTTGTATGTTGTTATATAGAATTATTAATTGATCATTTCGAAATCGGTCGTCAACTTTTGTTTAGAGTAATTAATTGTGATGTGATCGGTTGGTTAGTTAGTTAGTTGTGTAGGTGTATGTGTAGCCATGCTATAGACTTAATTCACATCGGAGTATTGCTGAGATGAACGTTTGCCCCAACCGCCATGGAGTTTCTGCCAGGTGGCACGTTTACCCCACATACCCTTCAAGTTGTTCCAATTGGGTTCACGTTTGCCCCAAGCACCTGCTTGTGAAGAAAACATATCTACAGTAAAATAATTGTCTTAATCTTCTTCTCTCGTAACGCTTTTGCTTCTTTTGTTCTTGAACTTACCTCTGAATTTGTTCCAGGTAGGACCATTACGTCTCTTGCCCCAGGCAACATTCATGCTCTTCCAGGCACGCTTCTCATTCAGGATATTCTCGTCCATGTCATAAGCTTCGCCGGAGTTGCCAATTAGTTCTGGGGTATTTGCCAAATGTTCCAAGGTAGCGGCATTGGTGAGATATGCCAATTGTAGTTTGGATCTTGGTTCCATGCCGGCTATAAGTACGGGTAGTAAGTTTTCGTTATCGTTCATATCATTGTCGCTGGGTGAGGCTCGCTTTCCCCATGTCCCTTGCAGAGATCGCCAATTGCTACGTTTCTCATCATAGCCACCATCCATTGGCATCAGATCACCCAATTCGTTTTCATTATCACTAACTGTGGGTATTTCGGGGGTCACCGCATTGGCCAGGACAGTGGTGATTATTGCCAAGCCTATAAACATTTGTAGCGCCACAAATGGTTGGGCAATCACACTCGACACCGATGTATTCTTGGTACACCTAAACATATTGCTGATGTGTGCTTTTTTAAATCTGGAAATAAAAAAAGAAGATTAAAGTTGAGAAATGTTATTCACATGGGGCTATTGAGTAGATGAGAACATTCACAACAAACTTGTTGGTATGCACCGATATTGCTAATTAATTCGGCAAAAATTGCAAGAAATTTTCTCAAAAGTATAAACATGTGGTGTGTGCATTTTTAAGTTTAGCCGATATTCTAATTTTAATATTGTCCGTAAAAATGCCAGTCGTTTTCACACTTTGGTGTAAAAATCTTAGGGTCAAAAAAACACTTCATTCATGGACAATATCTGAAAACATCTTGCATATGAAAATAATAATATCAGTACGAAACAACTATCACAGTAAACAACTCCTATGTAAACGTAGCCTTGTTCAACACTATATTTACATATTTAGTGACGCCGTCGTATACGTTATGTGACGCCCTCGAAATTATAATTTATTTTAGGGGGTTTGTTTGTTATAGTATGTTTACATTAAGATAGAATTAAGAAGGTAACTTTATGTAATCGTATGTTGACAATTTTTTTAAATAAAAACTTTAACAACATGGCATTGTCAAAATGTACAATCATTAATTTTTTGCATATAAACAAGTCAGGGATGGGAATCTGAGTCCAATGAAGTTACATTTGGCAAATGCGGACTTTGCTATTATTATTTGAAATGAGTTTACAGTGATTTAATAGTTCCATGGTTTAAACTTGTCCGGATTTAATAAACATAGTGGATTTAAATACGTCAAGTAAATAAACATATTTGGAAAATAACTCTATAAAAGTTTCCGATTCTGATATCGAATTCGGAACGAACCAAATGGTATGAGATTGGCCATGATACTAAAATTTTATTCGAAAAAGAAAAAATCTGGATGAACATTAATTTCGTGGTGAATTCAATTATAATTCGCAAAAGAAAAAAGTAAACTTCGGAACATTTGTATATGTTTGATACGAAATTCGCCGTTCGTTTTATCGAAAATCAGAGAAATGTAGGATGTTTATCCAAAATTCGGAAAAAATTTTATTTTTTCGATGGCTTTATCCGAAAACAGGAAAAAAATGTGATATTGTTTTTCGAAATTCTAATATTTTTGGAAGATTTATACGAAAATAATAATCAATATCAAAAATTTTATACACACTTTTAAGGGGCATTATTTACACGTACTCTGTTGAGATGTTGAAGAAAAACTGTGCAGAGTACTTTAAAACTTTTCAGATTGAACTGTAAAAAAATCTTTTCAAAAAAGAGTTAACTCTTTGCGGACGTTTTTGTTTTGCAAACAAAAGAGACGAGTGTGTGCAAATTACTCGCAAACTGGATAAATGGTAGAAAATCTCGGCAAAAAAAAAGCGGACATCAGAGCCCTCGGAAAAAATTTTAGCTGGGTCACCAAAAATTCAGATATGGAGTCAATTGATGCTGAAAAAATAAGCGATTATTCAATACTTAAGTTAAATAAAACAGGTAGTCGCAACGATACAGATGTTTGAACAATGAGCTGTCAAACCAATATTGAAATTAAAAATTTTGAATGAAAAATTATTCAATTTGTAAAAACGCTTTTGATTAAATTATATTTTTCCGAAGAAAATAGGGTTCGCTGTGATCGAAAAAGTACATTGACACACTGAAAATTTGACACTACCTATGTAAAACCCATGGTAAAAATATGAGGGTACGTTAATTTCAAATACGCCTACCTCTGCATTTTTGTAATTTACCTTGTCAAATTTTACTGCATTTAAAACAAGTTCCCATCATGTAAGTACAATGGATTTATAAAAATATATTTTGACAATGAGATGTTGTAAAATGAATATTATTGAAAAAATTAACATATTATGACGTTGCCTTCTTAATTATACCTTGGTAAAAACCTTATTGTCTGATAACAGCTTAAGGAAAGGAAATACAATTGAATTTTTTTTGTTATTGCTCGAATGCAAAATGTAAACAACGCCTTTACGGAAACATTTGCAACTTTGAAGTGTGCCGCAATACCAATGTAAAATTCCATGATGCTTTCTGTAGGTATATAGATTCCGATTTAAAATAAATCCGATGGGAGAAGATCTATTTTTGTATGGTAAATCTGGTTGAATATACCCGGATTAAGCAATAAATCTTCATAACAAGCAATCAGAACATTTGTTTATTATTAACGACATGAGTACTAAATGCCCAATATTTTCTCTGTGTCTATCAACAAACCTCAGATATTAGTGTCAAAATACATATTTAAATTTTAATTTGAAGATGAGTGAGTAAATGTCATTTGACCTTTGGCTACATACTCATACGTATATATCCCCTCAGATTATGTCTAATTCAATAGGATATTTTACCATATCCTCCTTTTGAATCAATGTCACAAATATGAAATTGTGTCACAGGAATTTGTAGACAGCCCATAATCATTGTCAAGTTTAAAAAATTAACAATGTGTGTGGGACTAATTAATATTATTAGTTAAAGGATTGTCAGGAAGACAACATTTATTCATTCACTTAGTTTTGATTAGTAAATTGGACAATGTACAAGTTGTCGTAATATTTCAATATAGAATATCTATATTAGATTCATATTTTGGATGTTAGTACAAGAAATTAATGAAAATTGATTCATTATATCTTTTAATGATATTGATTAGTGCATAGGCTAGGCAAACTAATTTTATTATATTTGTTGTAGACAATGTGTAATTAGACTAGTTAAAACTAGAATTCGAGTGTCGTGCATGTAATATGGACAAATGGTTAAGGAAGTTCAAACAATTATGGCGTTCAGTTTTAATACTTCTACTAGACAAATTCGGCCAAGTTAAAGTAGTAGCATGATTTTTCAAATTCTGATTGGCAGACGTGTTGATTTTGAAAGAAGCAAATTCTGGAATTTTTAAATCCTCCACCTTAAACATAACATAACATTCCTAATATTCGTCATAGACCCAATAAAATATTTGTATTCATAATCGGCATAAAATTGTAAGTCGATTTAAAGATGTCCGTCTGTCTGTTGAAATCACGATACAGCCCACATTATTTGACGTGGAGCTTCAAAACTTGGCACAACAATTCGAGTTGTATCTAGGATGGTTGGAATTGAAAATGAGACATGTCGGCCCACGTTTTGGTATAGCCGCCATATATCGGTATCATATATTCGGCCGCCATATATTCGGTATTTTGATGATTTGTCTAAAAAATTGGTATTTGTTGGTCATAATGGGTGGCGAAACATTGTATGTATAAGTCCACGTTACGGTACCTCCCGATATTCGGTATTTTGATGATTTTTGTTACATTTTTCCACCGATTTTTCTAAAAAATGGTATTTGTCGTTCATAATGGATTCTTACTCCAGTGGCCAAACATTATATGTATAGGTCCACGTTTTTTGTATAGCCCCCAAATATCGGTACCTCCCGATATTCGGTATTTTGATGACTTTTGCCACATTTTTCCACGGATTTGTCTAAAAATTGGTATTTGTGGGTCATAATGGGTTTTGGCTCCGGTGGCGAAACATTGTGTGTATAGTTCCATGTGTTTGTACAGCTCCCATATAATGATAACTTCCGATATTCGGTATTTGTATGATTTTAGCGACATCATTCACCGGAATTGTTTCAAAATTGGTATTTGAAGTTTTTAATTGATACTATAGCCTATGACAGATCTCTGCAGGTCCAAGTCTTCGTATGGCCCCCATATAACGGAACCTCCCGTTATTTGGTATTTTAATGATTTCAGCTACATTATACACCGATTTGTTTTTTCAAGATTCGCATTTGAATATTGTAATGGCTTATGACAAAAGTTGCCTATGCAGGTCCACGTCATCGTATAGACCCTAATATAACGGCTACATTCGGTATTTTTAAGTTTTTTTTTTTTAACGGATTTTATTTTTTTGAAAATTGCCAAATTCGTGGAGGGTATTTAAATTATGGAGGGAATTTAACAGGCTTCTTCCTTGTTAAAATTAAATCTCTAAAGCCTTATTCTTTTAAGTGATGTTGATAATTCATTAATTTATTAAAATCTCATTCATAACTTTTGCCCATGGCACTTAAAAATTTGAAAGACTTAATGGCCGAACACGCCACAGGCATAGACTTTCCGCTAACCACTACATGCGTGCAAAGTATGTTGGCTGTTGATTAAATCTTTTATTTTCTCACCTTTCTCGGATGGATGTTGTGGCTCTAGGGCGGCAGACCCCACAACCTAATGAATGCACTGACAGGCTGACAAGTCAAATGTTTCGCAGTGCGGTGAAAGATGTTTGAGCAGTCAATTAAAACTTTTAAAAGGTTACTCTCGTGGGACATATTTAAAATATGTAATAATACTCAACACTTGACACACACATGTATACAACACATTCTATCCAACGGGATACCTAGTCTGAGCGCACATGACATCCGTTATAATAATAGACAATATAACGGTTCGACAAGCCACAACAAAGATGACTAACGGAACTCGAAGAAAATTGAAACATGTAATTGAATGCCAAGGAAGGAAATAACAACACACATGTTGAGCCAGATTCGTAGGTGGAAATTTATGCACACATACTTACATTCATACACATTTGTGTGGTAAATAAGACTCGGTCGTACACAGGTGACAATTGAATTAAATGATTTTATTAGTGTATGTATGTATGCATGCATGTATGTATGAATGAGATCTACCATTCAACCACACTTCCTATTGCCTTCATTCTGACTTGTAGTTTTTGTCACTTATACATACATACATATTTTTGTAGTTATTTTCCTGATTTTCGACATGTTTGGGCATGATGATAAGAGACCTTGAACTATGTATGTATGACTGTGCAGTGCATGCTTGTGTGTCTGTCTCTCATCCTCCGGTTTGATATATTTTTTCTCTTTTAGCCCACTTGTTGCGATGAAAACTCGACCACAATCAGTTACATAAATTCGATAATAAAGAAAACGATTATTGCGGTCTGCCAATATTTTGTTG